CTTCTGAGTCGGAGCCTGAAGTCCCTGTGGTTTTTGGGGTTTCAGGGCGTTTTAGGGGTTTCTTTGGTGGTGGGACCGGAGGCAATGACATTATTTCCTGCTCCCATTCCTCGAGAGCTTTTCCTCCCTGTCTAGCTGGGGCCAGAGCCAATTTCTGTTTAGAACCTTGCTCTCTTCCCCCCGCTCCTGAGGGACCCGCAACATTCTGTTGCATCTCCAGCCGTTTTGACTGCGCAGAAATGCCTTGTAACATAATTCTTGCTGGAGACAGCAATTTTAAAGCTTTCTCATCCTTTTTTGTGGCAAGGAGATAGAGATGCCTATTAATTTCTTGCCAAAATCCTACTTCAAACAACAGACATGTTTCTGAAAATGGGTAATTAAGCCTCACCCACAACAGGAGCTCTTTCAGCTCTTTCTTTCGGATCCCGACCGTATATGTCTGTGCTACGCCTTGTAAGGCTGATAAAATTCCCAGCTGTTCCTGGGACAGTGTGCTGCCCTTGTTCTTAATTTTTTTGACCTTCTTACCGAATGTCTGTCGTCAGAGCTGTCCGAGGGCTCCTGATCTCCGTACAGTAGGTCACAGAAGAACGGTCCCAGAGGCGCCTTTCTGGTTCTGATCCGGACTGTTCTGCTACGAACTTTCTTCGGCAGAAGCTGAGAGATGTAATTCTCAGTGACTGCTGTCTTTTCCAGACTCTCTCGGCCGTTTTTTTTTTCTTCTGGCTTGTCTCCCCAGGAGTTACCAGTGTTCTCCTGGGAATTCATCCAAATCCAGAGCTGTCCCTGTCGGCTCTTCAGTCTCGGCTCTTCAGGGCCGATATCCCCCCCCTTGGTGGGAGTAGCCCACGCAGCGGACACCAGTTGTCCCGTTCTCAGCTGTTTTTGATGGCCTAGAAAGGCTNTTCAATTACCTTACAGGGTACTGAGGTCAGTATATACTGACAGTATAAACTGTCAGTATAAACTGTTCAATTACCTTACAGGGTACTGAGGTCAGGCTGAGTGGTCTGTAATTACTTGGATCCTCCTTCCCCCTGTTGTTGTGAATGGGTGTCACATTGGCCAGCTTCCCGTCATCTGGAACCTCACTGGTGAGCCAGGACTGCTGGTAAATGGTGGAGAGCGAGTTCACAAGTTCATCTGCCAGCTCCCTCATCACCCTGGGGTGGATCCTATTTGGTCCCATGGATTTATGAATATCCAAGCTGCTCAGCAGTTCTCTGACTGCCTCCTCTTAGATAATGGGGGGACCATTCTGCCCCCTGATGTCATCAACCAATCCAAGAGGACAGTTGTCCTGAAGGCAAGTTGTCTTCTCACTAAAAACTGAGGCAAAGAAGGTGGTAAACACTTCTGCCTTCTCTTAGTCTGCAGTTATTAAGTTCCCTTTCAGATCTAATAAAGAATAAAGCTTGGTCTTACCCTTTCTTTTACAATGGATGTATTTGCAAAAACATATTTTATTATCCTTTACAGAAATTGCCATTTTAAGTTCAAACTGACCTTTGGCCTCCCTATTTTTTTTTCCCACATGCTCTAGCAAGCCCCTTAAATACTTCCTGAGACATCTGACCCTCCTTCTAAAGATGATACATCTTCTTTTTATTCTTAAGCTCCTTCAAAACCTCCTTGCCCATCCAGGCTGGACATTTGCCTCATCGACTCATCTTTCGGCGCACAGGGACAGTCGGTTCCTGTGCCCTCGAGATCTCTGTTTCAAAGCACACCCACCTTTCATGAAGTCCTTTGTTTTTAAGGGTGCTTCCTGTTCTGGTTTGACATTGGCACAAGGCCAAATGCCCACATGAAAATATACCTTCTCTGGTGTCTGCTGTGAGATTTTGACCAGGAATAAACAAAGCAGGCTCTCACTTGAAAAAAAGAAAAGTTTATTAACTAAACTACAAAGACAATT